CAACATCTCGACCGGAATGATCTGGGTCTTCCTGATCAGCCATCTCTGCTTGAGGCTGACTACTACTACTACTACTACTTACTGCTTACTACTTACTACTTACTACTTACTACTACTACTACCACTACTACTACTACTACTACTACTTCTACTTCTACTTCTACTTACACTTACTACTACTACTACTACTACTACTACTACTACTACTACTTACTACTACTACTACTACTACTACTACTACTACTACTACTACTACTACTACTACTACTACTTACTACTACTACTACTACTACTAATTACTACTACCACTACTACTACTACTACTACTACTTCAGCACCCCGTCCAGGTTGGTTGCTGACACTTTAGCAGTCTTTCCAGCCAGGGACTTCTTGCCTCAGGACATTGTGCGTCGAAGTTCAGTTGATTGGGACGTTGGCAAGAATGCTGCCGGTGGAGATGTTGTGGTGAGGCTGCGCACCCAACAAAAACTCCACACAAAGTTGACTTACACAGCAGCCTTGAAGCCTGATCGCCACATCGAAGCTTCCTTGCACTTCTTTGACCAAGCAGTTGAAGCCGTGCCACCAAATTTGATTTTTCTGGATGCGGAATGGCACACTTCGTCCAGTTGGTAAAAGCCACCTAGTGAAGGATGTTGATGGTGAGGGTCCAGTGAGGGTGTCTGCCAGTGTCTGCCAATCCTGTACGTGTCTCCTTCTAGCAATGTTCACGCACAACATGAGCCAAACTTAGGGGCGATGGCCAGGAAAGTTGAACGCTTGCTTCTCTATTGTTGATAACAAACATCACACTCCTCTGGTCAAACAGGGCACACGCTCCTATATTATGGTGACGTCAACCCCACCTGATTTATAGGAAGATACTGGAGGGGGATATGTAAGCAAGTATGGCCTACTCCCCTGCAGATTAACATGGAACCCCAAAACCACTGGCTGGAAGAGGAAAACAATCTTCCAGGGGGGCCATTGTCAGGGTCCATATTGGTTTTTGGGAGTGTGCGTTTGGTGGTTTTTTGTCGTGGATGTAGGGTAACATTTACTTGCATGGATCATCCGTGTAGTGTATGTGTATAAGGAAAAGAACATCAAACGTCCAGGGCCCACGGGCTCGTCCAGGGCCCACGGGTTGGACAGTAGTCAGCTCTGCAATGTGGTTGAGAGAGAGAGAGAGAAACTCACTCCGTGAAACCATCCTGGTGTGCCCCAAATGCACTCTTGCAGCTGCGCCGTAGTTCTTGTGGAGTTTCTGATCCTGCATGTTCCTGACCTCTTGACACTTCCACCCTTTTCGGCCTAACGGCATCCATCCCCTTTCGGTGGTCAAGAACCAACGACTTTCTACGAAGATTCTGGGCTGACGACCTGGAGGCTAAAACCTATATGCAAAGGCACTCCTATAGCATGGAAGTAAATGTATGCAACTAGTCCACTCACATGAATGGTCTGGGTATGCAAAGATTTTTGTGCCGAAAAGCTTCCCTCCCGTTCGGCTCCTCGGGTACATGGCTAGCCACCAGCGCCAGCATGCCAGCCTTATCCTCTGGCTGGTCGCTGGCCTGGCTGACATGAAGCCAAGCTGGCCAAGCTCAGTTTCAAGAAGGAAAAGAACACAATCCCAAGTTCAGTGGTGTATTTGGACCCCCCTTCTAAAAGGCATCTTGGGTGCAAGCGCCATCTACCCTGAAACCACTGTAGTTTTCCAGGCGGTTTTCAGGTGAACTTGTGTTAATCATATAGTTGTTGGGATTCGGATACATCCCCGTTGAAAATCAACACAAGCCGGGCACTTCTTGGCATTTGCTTCATCCACAAAAGGGGAAACTTCTTGAGACACCTGTTTTCAAACCACATGCAAGACTGGTCAAGGCGCAGACGCGCTCCAAAGGGCACTCCTTGTCGGGCCGGACCCACAAAACTTCTCGCACGTGGACCCTGAAAGCCAAAGTCTCTGGTACCCAACGTTGCTCGACCAACAGGGAATGCGAAATAAATCGCCCAAGATTCCTTTTCTGCGAAGCATCTAAATCCTTCTCAATTCTTGTTAATTCCACCACTTTTTTAAAATTGCTACTGTTTCTCTGTGTCCACACATAACATCATCAAGACAACTTCTGGGGCATGGCTCCATGGGGCAGCATCATGCACTCCCAGCCGCAAAAGGTTCATGTAAAATAGTCCTGCCAAAAAAATACCTACGAACTCACGGCGCTGATACTCTGTAATCGACCCTAACTCGTTTACTGAGACACGTTTGGTTCATGACCTCAATCTCCGGATCAGCAAGACACCCGTGGTTTCGGGCCACACGTCGCGCCGGTCGCGCCGGGGGCGTCGCTTGGTGCCACGCGACGCGGCCGTGGCCCATCGATGCCCTTGCCACGGCAGCGCGCACCACCTCCACGTCAGCACGCAGCTCGGGCGCTGCATGCTCGAAGGCGCGAGGATCCTGCGCTCTGCTGGGTTGAAAGCACCTGGAAAGTAAAGATTCCTGAATCTGGTTCCATTTGAGTTGTTTCTTTTTTTTTGTGGTGTGGGGCTTATACACTGGGTCTTTACCTACGCAGGTGCCTACGCCTGGGCTCCCCTCGGAAGCAAAGGCCTACGCGAGAGGTTCTCTTTGTTAGGTACCTACGCGGATGCCTACGCAGGGTACTGTCACCAACTTTAGTCACATCAGGTGACGACAAGAGCTATATAATCAGCAAGCAGTGGTCCGATGCGACCGGGTCACATCACGTTCCTGTTTACAAGGCGTTTACAGCTTTGCCACCGATGGCCAGATAGATTTTGTATCAAGCCAATTCGATTACAGTGTGGAAGCACCAGTACACAAACAGCACACAACAAGCAGCAAACAATCAGTAGAAAATTAGCCCAGCTGGAAACTTCAATAGCAAGATACAAACCGGGACAAAAAGAAAAATCTGGAAACAGCTGCTGTTTTCAACACATCGACCATCTCTTCCTTGGACACCATCATCACATAACCGGGACACCATCACAAAATGACCAGGGCACCATCAAAACATGACCGAGACACCGTCACAACATGAC